AGAAACAAGGTCTTACCAAGTTGCCCAGGCGGGTCTCGAACCCACAGGTTCAGGCAATCCACTTGCCTTGGCCTCCCAAAGTGCTGGGATTACAGGCTGAGTCAACAAGCCCGGCTGCTATTTAATTTAACCATGAGCATTCTTAAGGCTAGCCATGACACAATTACATCTTTCTTTTAATTTAACCTTTCCATCAAACCTTCCAAAGTGAGAGATCTCATTTTTAAAAATCACCTTTTGGCTACTGACCATTCCAAGATGAGTCACATAAACCTTTTTTGCCCTTTGATCAAAACCTTGTAGATGAGACAAACAGTGATTTTTTCCCCATCCATTCAATAAAGTGCATAGAGAGAAAGGTTGGGATCCTGGTTAGTAAGAAATCCTCACCCCTTTGCCATCAAAAACAGGTTCCTGGGTTCTGCTCACTGCAGTTTCCAAAAGAGAAGAGTGGATTTGTTCATCCTGTTCGTGATGCTAGCCTGGGGTCCATGGCCACTGGCCCCCTAAAGGTTCACTAAAAAATCACTGGCAGATTGATTAATAGGAGAAAAGGCATACAAATGTATTTAACATGTATACATGGAAGCCTTCAGAATGAAGACCCAACTTCTCAATGAGTTAAAAATACATGTACATACTTATACAAACACAGAATCTACAGGTTTTTTAGATTAAATTTTATTTTAATTTAAAGACGTGGGGTACAACTCAGGGTTAGGTATACAAATGTTTATTATGCAGGGACCCTTGGTGATGAAGTGTGCCCCCTTCCAGCAGATTCCCACTACTGCCAATCCTGTCTCAGCCTCCTCCCCTCCCCCACCACGGCAGTTTCCCACGACTGCCAATCCTTTTCTAATAGCATTACGATAATTGTTCAAGGTCCGCTTATGAGTGAGAACATGTGATCCTACAGCTTTTATCTAGGAACTCTAGCCAGGAGATAGTATCACAAACTCATAATTTTATAAAATATAGCTGGTTCCGAATTATTTCTGACAAAATTGGGACCTATTTACATGGCTACACTTTGTTTGTCCTAATAGGTAATCCAATACAGACTTTGGACCAAAATTTGGATAAAGTGGTTTCCATAGTTATTAAATTTTTTTACTCTTTTTTTCTCTTTAGTTTTATATAAGCTTTCAACGTTTACATTTTAGCTCAAACTAGCTGAACTGCACAAGAAAAACAAAAATTCAAGTAACCGTGAAACTGTGAGTTTGATCTCAACACCAGTATTAATAACAACAGATTTAAAGTAGGCAGTAAAGGAGAAAAACAGAGTTTTAGAAGATTCAGTGTAACTCTATGGTTTTAGGTTAATCATTTAAGCTCTGGATTTCCCTTGCTGTAATTTTCCCATCCGTTTTAAAATGTGCACAAAAATGGGCCATAATATGTAACCAGCTTGAGTCCCAGAAAAACCTGGCATGACTTCCAAAGTAATAAGGTCACACACAGAGACAGATGCAGACACAAACACACAGTTACAGGTTCTGATGGCATGCTTTCAGATTGATTCCCACTGAGGGTACTGGGTACAAAGTCCTGAGACCTTGTCTCGACTATTGATGGCCCCACAAGTAGCTAAGTCTAAATGGAGCAGAACCAAGTGGGCTACAGATGGCATACATGCCCAGATGATGCCCTGAGTGACTAAGTCCGAATGGTAGAGATCCCAAGTGACATCACAGAGGAGACAGGTTTTCCGGGTACACTTCTGGTGAACTTACTCAGATCTCATGTTTGTCAGCTTCTCACAAATCATCTTCCTTCCATTAGCAAAGTGTAGTAGGCAGCTGGCACTGTGACAGACAGAGAAGAGAGGTTCCTCAAGACAAAACCATTGTTGCGGCTTCTGGAAAATCCCAGGAGTCCCAGCGAGGGGATCAACTAGCCATGAGCGGCTAGCATGCTTATGAGCAACTGTTGCCTCACCAGTAGTGAAATCAGGCAGGGAGACTAAGTCACTTGCAATGCACAGCTCCTCATACGGGGCACCTAATTTGTAACCAGTGCAAGCTCAGCCACTTGTCACTTATACACCAGAATGAACAAGAACAATGAAAGGAAGGTGATTTTATTTCAAAAACCAACAGATAGGGCAATGACCAGGTTCATGCCTCAAATAAACCATCTCAGCTTTGTCGGCTGAGTTCAGTGGTTTAAAAAGGGAAACTTGGCAGGGGAAAACATGTCAGTGTGGCACAGAGTGTGTCTTGGTGGCTTATTTTGGGTGGTGATCCTCCCAGAGTTCTGGTTGGTGCTATCTTAACTGCAGTCAGGTGATGGATCAACTGTCTAATTACTCCCTTCAAATGGGAGGGTCCTGTAGTCAGCCTGTTTTAAGATTAGCCCCTGAGATTTCTAAACATATGGTGATAAGTATGCATGGTGAAAAGAAGTCTCTAAACATGTTTCAAGGCTTAAGATTAAGAGGAATAACAAAAAAACTTTAAAATGCATTTTAAGGCGGAGATAGTTGGCTACATAATCTTTGGGCGCATGCTCTCAGGACCTCTTGAGACTGTGCCTCGGGCCCTAGATACTCATATTTGGCTCAGAATAAGTGTCTTTAAATATTTCATAGTTTGGCTTTGTCATCAACAGAGGAAACAGGTGACCAGAATTTCTACCAGGCACTCCTACAAATGGCCAGCAGATGGTTCAGTTAGAGACAGATATTTGGGGTCTGGTAGTGGCCAATAATAGAGGTCTTTCTCTCTAAAATGAATTCATCTCAGGTTGAATTATGCACTCAGAAGGAAGAGAACCACCCCAAGGCCTTTGTGGAAGGCTATATAAATTTTTCAACAGTATACTGCTTTAACTCTAAACCCTAGAGTATAGAAATCTTTTTTTTTTCTTAATTGAAAAAACCAGCCAGGCTCGGTGGCTCAACCTGTAATCCCATGCTTTGGGAGGCCGAGGTGAGTGGATTGCCTGAGCCCGCAGGTTCGAGACCTGCGTGGGCAACTTGGCGAGACCTCATCTCTACAATAAATCAAAAAAGTTAGCCAGGCGTGGTAGCGTGCGCCTGTAGTTCCAGCTACTTGGAAGGCTGAGTGGAAGGATTGCCGGAGCCCAGCAGGTTGAGGCTGTGGTGGCTGGGAGCGTGCCACTGCACTCCAGTCTGGGCAACAGAGTGAGACTTCAACTCAAAAAAAAAACAAACAAACAAGTTTTTTTAGAGATGACATCCTGCTTTGTCATCTAGGCTAGAGTGCAGTGGCATAATCATAGCTCATGCAGCTTTGAACTCCTGAGCTCAAGTGATCCTCCTGCTTCAACCTCTTAAGTAGCTGGGACTACAGGTGCATGACACTACACCTGGCTAATTAACAAAAAGGTTGTTTTTTTTTGCGGGGGGAGACAGCATATCCATATGTTGTACAGGTTGTTCTTGAATTCCTGGCCTCAAGTGATCCTCCTGCCTCAGGCTCCTGAGTAGCTGAGATTATAGGAGTGAGCCACCAGCACATGGCTTATAGAAATCTTTTAATTCTGCCTTGGCCAGAAATCTTCTCCCTGATATAAAGAGATAAACTCAAAATAATGTCATTGTCTGGACAGGTCAGGCTCTTAGCAGTTGTTAAAGGAGCAGTTGCACAATTCTTTGAAAATAGCTTGTGGTGGGGAAAGAATACTTTAAATCAATAGTACTGTATTTGCTTTGCAAATTGAGTAGTTACGAAAACATAAGCATGGCTCCAGGAGAGGCTTAAAACCTACTCACCTTTCCAGTCAGCCACAGAGTCATCCCTGTTTGTCTCCAGTTAGATCCAGATATTGCAAAAAGCCACTATGAGACCTGACAGTTAAGTTCATGAACTCATCCTAGAAAAAGTGTTACATACCTCATTGCTGAATATCACTATGTGTTGGGAGCCAACTACGGAAGCCCACTGAGCATTAGGGATCAGGAAGCGCTGTTGACCCCAAGACCACTAGGATGCGTTCGGGAGCTATTGACCCCATTTCCTCCCCCTTTTCTACTCAGCACTAACCAGATTAAGCTCCTGTGAGCTCAAAACATAAAAACTCTGAGACTGGGACGAACACAAGCTAACTTTAGAGGCTCATTGCTCAGTTTTGGCTTTCACACAACTTACAATTCAAACTCGGGTCACATCTGAGAGCCTTAGTATTGTTCACAGGCTTCTGGGTCATGATCTTAGGATTTATTGAAGTTGAATAAGGTGTAAATTGTAGAATATAGTTTTAGAAGACAGCCATTTTGTTGAAAGATGCGGCTGGGTTACTTGCAGGTAGCCCACTGTGAACTTTGGACTGGGCCACATTCCAAACGTTCTGGGATGGGCCACTTTAGTTTGTAAAGTAAGCACTTAAGTCTCTATAGAATTGTTTAACTAGGTATTAATATGAAAAGGGTTTAAAGGCAATCATGGATTAAGGTTTCATGGATTAGGTTATGGGATTATACGTGAAAGAACATCTGGTGGGTGGGAAACGCCCCTCACACACCCGACTGTGTATAAAAGACCCGTTGTAATTCCCAATAAACAGCTTCTGCACTAGACTGGGGTCCAGTCTCTCTCTCTCTCTCTCTCCCCCTCCCTCCCTCTCTCTCTCTCTCTCTCTCTCTCTCTCTTTCTTCTTCCCCCCAATCACTGATGCCGTCTCCATCTTTGGGGTACCCTGAACCCGGCTGGAGCTGGACTCCAGCAGCTATGGTCACCTTCAGAATATTCCTCTTGAGAAGCTATGCTCTACCAGCATCTAGTCCACCTGTCAAAGCAGTTTTGGAACTCTTTTTCTGGAATGGCCATCAGCTGTTATCATATTACACTTGATGTCCTGAAAGTCATCAAAATGTCTTCCTGGTATAGAAAGGTGGTGATAGCGGCAGCAAGTGTGTGATGGAGGTGCTCAGATCCTCATGACTGTGTTGGAATTTACCACTGTGTTGAGCAAAAGGGCAAAAAGCACCCTGAGCACACAACATCCAGTATATTTGCCATTATATTTGCCAGTATATTTACCAGTCACAGATCCAGGAGTTCAAAGAGGCCTTTGATATGATTGATCAGAATAGAGATGATTTCATCAGCGAGGAAGATATGCATGATGATATACTTGGGAAAAATCCAACTGATGAGTATCTGGATGCCATGATGAATTGGCCCCATCAATTTCACCATGTTCCTTACCATGTTCGGAGAGAAGTTAAATGGCGCGGATCCTGGAGATGTCATCAGAAATGCTTTTGCTTGCTTTTATGAAGAAGCAATTGGCACCATCCACAAAGATTACCCGAGAGAGCTGCTGATAACCATGGACGATCGGTGCACATATGAGGAAGTGGATGAGCTGTACAGAGAAGCACCTATCAACAAAAAGGGGAGCTTCAATTATATCGAGTTCACGCACATCCTTAAACATGGAGCAAAAACAAAGATGACTGAAAAGAACTCCAAATTCCAGCCAGATGTCCCTTGTTGCCGCTTTGAGTATTTCTGAGATTTTCTCTTGCATGCCCTTAGTTTTACAGCTTTTGCCTTTTCTGCTGTGTTTATTCTCAGCCGTTTTGGGCATATGTATCTTTCCAGACTGGAAATGGGACTTTTTGCCATTTTCAGAATAGAAAACAGGGTAATTTAACTTTCCAGTCCCTCCCCCTATGACTGCAGTCTATAGAGTCAATATATTTATTCAAAGTTATTCATTCAATTTTTTTCTGAACCATAATTAAACTTTATGATAAAAAAATTTTTTTAAAGTCTTCCTTTCAATATTTCCTTTATCTTTGGGTAAAGAAAAAAGTTATAGGGGCCAGATCAGGTGAGTAGGGAGGGTGTTCCAATACAGTTATTTGTTTACTGGTTGAAAACTCCCTTAAAGACCATGCTGTGTGAGCTGGTGCATTGTCGTGATACAAGAGCTCCTTCAGGACCATTTTTGCACACACCTTTCTCATGCCAAGATTTTTCAGTTAAGATTTTCCTAACTGTGTCTCTATTGATGTTTATTTGGTCTGCTATGCTTCTCATAGTCAGCCAACAATTTTGATGCACAATTCAATGAATTTCTGCAATGTTTTCATCAGTCTGCTCGTTACTGGCAGTCCTGACCTCTTTTCATCAGTGATGCTTTCTCTCCCCTCAGAAAAATATTTAATCCATTTGTACACTGCTGTTTGCTTCCTGGCATTATTCCCATAAACTTGGACTAACATGTCCCTGATTTCATTTCAACTCTTGCCAAGTGTAACAAGAAATTAATGTTTGTTCATTGTTCTAATTCAAGCTCTGACATTCTCTTGACAGCACACAAAAACATGCAACAACAATAATGAACGTCACTTAGCAAGACACCACCACATGTTGACACAAACACAGCTATGAGACACTGATACATCAAGCTTATGAAGACTTACCAAGTTGTTTTTCCCAGTGCTGCCAATGTAAGTGCATGGTCGCAAGCCTGTGAACCCAATTGTCAGAGCTCATACATTGGAAAACAATTGTACCACATGCAAGAGAAAGAAAAGTTTGTATAACAATCTTCCTAGACCCCAGAACCCTCAGAAGGTTCATTTTTTTCCCTTCTATGGGACAACAACCTGTCGATTGATGGGATCATGGTTCCTCGATTGTACCCCAGAACCTACTATTAAACTTACAGTAAAGGATTGGGTACTAGACTTCTTATTTGACATTGATGTGAATTATTTTTATCTTAGTCTGTCACCTGAGTCTATTCAAGCTATTGGAGTCTACAGGTAATTTATGGTTGCCCATATTTTAGACCACCCCAATATCCATGGTAGGTTCTGTTAATACCTACCAAGTTTTTCTTGTTTCTGATTCCCTATTCCCAAATCTTAGGTAAAGACTTATAATGTAAATGATGTAATGCCACCCTACAGCATTTTTTTAAAAGGGTGTTTTATTTCCCTGTCCTCAGCTAAAATCTCCAAGTTCTTATTTTTCCCTAATGGAGACCCATCTAAATTTAAAGCCATCTTTTAAATTGAGGACACAATCTTATGAGATGTCTCAGTCAGTCTCTGGGCCTCACGTGGAGTACCACTAAGTACAAAACCTGCACACGCTGCCCAGAGGTTATGTGTGGCTTACAGCAGGAAATGATCAAAGTAGGATTTCACAAATCCTATGACTTACTGCCATACAAAGAGAATTTTTCTTAGGTTCCCCGTGCTTAAAGAGGGGGAGGATCACAGGGAATATACTCAGCAGAGGAGGTACATAAATCACATGCTGAGTAAGTTCTCAAAGTCACCAAGTGCAGTCGCTCATGCCTATAATCCCAGCACTTCGGGAGGCCAAGACAGGAGGATTTCTTGAGCCCAGGAATCTAAGACCAACCTAGGCAACATAGCAAGACCCTATCTCTACAAAAACAATGACTAAATAGCCAGGTGTGGTGCCATGCACCTGTAGTCCCAGCTACATGGGAGGCTAAGGCAGAAGGATTGACTGAGCCCAGGAGGTCAAAGCTGTTGTGAGCCGTGATCCATGTCACTTGTACTCCAGCCTGGGTGACAGAGTGAGACCCCAACTCAAAAAAAAGTTATTAAATTCTCAGGATGAAAGCAAGCCACTGCGGAAAGAAAAGTCTAACAAATATTTCAGGTGTTCCTTTATATGAGGAATTTCTCAGGAGAGATGGTATCCAACATAGCGGAGATCCCTGAGGACATGGAAGGTCTCTCGACTTAAAGGGTGGCACTCATGTGTGGGCAAGGTTTCAGAGTGTCAAGGTTATGAGTGTGTGGTTCTGTTCCACCCTGAGCTCTTGAACTTCAGAGAAGTGGCTGACAGTCTAGCCTGCCATGGACCAAGCTCTCAAAGTGTCTGCCAAACCCTTGAGTTTGTATGTATTTTGAGGCCCAGTAGTTGAGGTCACACATGGGTTGAATGAGGTGTGACATCACATTCCCAAGGAGAGGAGGGGTGCACAGTTGCATTTTCCAGGTCAGAGGAGGAGCAGCTCTAAGTTTTCAGGTATGGGGTCTGATGAGACCTCACGTTCTTGAAGGGAGGTGGAAAATAAAAATAATATCCTAAGCCTCCCAACTGGCTGAACAAAACTCCCTTGGCCAAGGGGACTCCAGAGAAACCTGAGAAGCTGAGTTTCTAGTCATAGTGAGAAGGGAGATTGGACACAACTCATTATACTGGCTCCTTTTCAGAATTTAGGCACAACTGGCCAGCATTAATGTTAAAATAGAGGGTAAGACTGATAAAACAAATTATTCATGGCAATAAGAGATTGAAAGGACATAAGATGGAGTTAATATAGCCAAAGAACAGTCATTTTAACACTGCCTAGTTCTGTCATGTTTTCTGAGCAAAATCACCTAGCTTGCCCTCTAATCAAAGAGCCGGCTTCTCAGAGGTAACTACTGACAATTGTTTTACAACTCCTCCCCAGCTTGTTTTGTATGAATTAGCTTTTCTATTCCAAACATTTGCCTAAGAAACATGTTAACTTAATCAGCCCTTCTTGACCTCTGTGACACAGACCCCATCACCATGGCAGCAGCCACGTGACTAGTCCGCCCATCTGCCTGCTGTCCAACACCTGACATCAGTACCGGCACTTACCTGTCCCCTTTGTGATGTGAAACAGGCCACCACTCAGTCACCTTAACAAGCTGCCCCCCATCAAAGGGAAGGTTTAAAAGCATTCAACCTCAGCCAGGCTCGGTGGCTCAGCCTGTAATCCCGTGCTTTGGGAGGCTGAGGTGAGTGGATTGCCTGAGCCCGTGGGTTCGAGACCCGCCTGGGCAACTTGACGAGACCTCATCTCTACAATAAATCAAAAAATTAGCCGGGCGTGGTAGCGCGCGCCTGCAGTTCCAGCTACTCGGAAGGCTGAGGCGGAAGGATCGCCGGAGCCCAGCAGATCGAGGCTGCGGTGGCTGGGAGCGGCCACTGCACTCCAGTCTGGGCGACGGAGTGAGACTCCAACTCAAAAAAAAAAAAAAAATTAAAGCATTCAACCTCAACCATTGGCCATTGCTTTGCTAAGCTCTGGTCTGGCCGTGTGGCTCTTTGAACTATGGCCGCCATGTTTCCTAAGCTTTGGCCCCCTCCCCTTCCTTGGGGAGGTGAATCTCCTCTTTCTCTTTCTCTTTCTCTCTAGTTTACTTTCTAAATAAACGATATTTTCCAATCTAACTTCTGTGCAATTCTTTGTGTCCTATGCATGGCACCAGATCGTCTCCTCCCTCCCCCGCAGGTTTGACCTAACATTTTGGAGGCCCTGTGGAGGTTGTGATCAAGGCATGGATTCTTTCTTCATCGACCAGCTGCCATCGGTGTCTCCTGTGAGTTGTAATAAGCTCATGTCTCTCCCTGCTGGGCCTCTGGGTGACTTCTTCTTCTTTTTTTTTTCAGATTAGAAAATATAGTTTATTTAGAAAGTAAATTAGAGAGAGAGAGAGAGAGAGAAAGAGGGGATTCATCTCCCCAAGGTAGGGAAGGGGGTCAAAGCCAGGAGACATGGCGACAGCCATAGCTCAAAGAGCACATGGCCACACCAGAGTCTAGCAAGACAATGGGGCGATGGTCTGGCAATGGCCTGGGTGACCTCTTTGAAATCGGTAAAGAACACTGCTCGAAAGCCCTCTCAGATCTGGGGTTGCTGCATTGCACTGACTTTGGTTCAGCGTCGGATGACAGCAGAGACCCTCAAAGGGCAGTGCCAGCATGGTGAGCGAGACATCAGAATGTCAAGGGAGGCCCTGTCGCACCCTGAGCTCTTGGACTTCAGAGAAGTGACTGACAGAACATAGCAGACTCTGAAGTTGAATGCTTTCAAACCTTCCCTTTGCTGGGGGAGGTAGTGAAGGTGATTGGGTGGTGGTCTTTTCCACATCATCACAGAGGTGACAGGTAAACATAGGACCGATGTCAGGTGATGGATGGCAGGCAGATGGGTGGGTTAGTCACATGACTGCTGCCGTGGTGATGGGATCTATGTCATAAAGGTCAGGAGGGGTTGATTAGGTTAACTTGTTAAGGAAACAAGCTGGGGAGAGGGTTGTAAGGCAATTATCAATAGCTACCTCTAAGAAACTGGTTATATCCTTGGCTGGTGATTAGAAGGTAAGTTAAGTGAATTGCTAGAAAACCACGACAAAACCAAGCAATGTTAAAATGGTTGCTCGTGGCCAGGCTCGGTGGCTCAGCCTTTCATCCCAGCACTTTGGGAGGCCGAGGCGAGTGGATTGCCTGAGGCCGCCGGTTCGAGACCAGCCTGGGCAATTTGGTGAGACCTCGTCTCTACAATAAATCAAAAATTAGCCAGGCGTGGTGGTGTGTGCCTGTAGTTCCAGCTACTTGGAAGGCTGAGGCGGAAGGATCGCCAGACCCCTGCAGGTCTAGGCTACAGTGGTCGGGAGCGTGCCACTGCACTCCAGCCTGGGCGACAGAGTGAGACTCCGACTCAAAAAAAAAATAAAGGCTGCCCATTGGGTATATTGACTCCATGTTATGTCCTTTCAGTGCAAAACCCTATCTCTCCCACACGATACCTTGCAGCCATGGCATGATTTCAAAGCCTCTTAGACATCCCCAATACAACCCAGGTTCACTTCAATCTTGGGATGGCCCCTGAAAATAAAACTTTTGTTTCTTTTGTTTGTTTCTTTTCTTTTCTTTTTAAGACAGGGTCTCAGTCCATTGCCCAGCATGGAGTGCAGTGGCAAGATAATAGTTCACTGCAGCCTCAAACTCCAGGGCTCAAGCGATCCTCCTGCCTTAGCCTCCCAAGGAGCTAGGACTGCTGGTGTGAGCCACCACATCTGGTTGATTTCCTTTGAATATTATTTTTTGTAGAGCTACGGTCTTGCTGGTTTTAAACTCCTGGACACAAGCGATCCTCCTTCCTTGGCTAACCAAAGTAGATTACAGGTATGAACCACCATGCCCAGCCTCATCTTCTTTTAAGAAACAGAAGGAAGGTGCTATGGTTTCAATATTTATGTCCCTTCCAGAATTCATGTTGAAATTCAACCCCCACAGTCTGGAGTTTACTATGTCTTGTCACCTGTCATGTTGGCATCTGCGTGTCTCCTGGCTCTATGTGTCTCTGTCAGTCTGCAGGAGCAGAATGGACTGTAAAGTGTCTGATATAGGAGGCCTGGGGTTCAGCTTTGGTGGCTATAAAGCTTGGTTATGTCACCTGACAAAGTTAGTCCAGTTTTTTTCAGTTTACCCATATGGGCGGGGAGAGGGGGTGCGGGGAGGGCCAAAAAGCCAGAATTATCTTTTTGGAATGTGGGTCTCTTGTAGTACCCCCCAAAATGTGTTCCTCCAGATCAAGCGGTCAACCAAAGTTTTTATCAGGAAGTTTTGAGAAGGTCGCATCATGATTTGTAGAACCATCCAGAGTTGTGGCAAATGGGTGACTGGTTCTTCTACCATGACAACCCACTTGCTGACACTGCACTGCGTGTTCAGCAGTTTTTAAACAAAAACGATGTGATCCCAGTGCCCCACCCTTCCTATTCACCCTATCTTGCCTTGAGAGCCTTTTTTTTTTTGCTTCCCCGGATGAAAAAAGTCCTTAAACGGAAACCTTTTGCCGATGTGGAAGAGGTGAAACAAAAATGACAGAGGCACTGAAAGGCATCAAAATGGAAGAGTTCAAAAACTGTTTTGAGCAGTGGGAAAAGCGTGTCGATAGGCGTATTGTTTTGTTTTGTTTGAGCTGGAGTCTCACTCTGTCGCCCAGACTGGAGTGCAATGGCCGCTCCCGGCCACCGCAACCTCAACCTGCTGGGCTCCGGCGATCCTTCCAAATTCAGCCTTCCAAGTAACTAGAACTATAGGCAGGCGCTACCATGCCCAGCTGATTTTTTGATTTATTGTAGAGATGAGGTCTCGTCAAGTTGCCCAGGCGGGTCTCGAACCCGCGGGCTCAGGCAATCCACTCACCTTGGCCTCCCAAAGTGCTGGGATTATAGGCTGAGCCACCAAGCCCAGCCAGATAGGTGTATTGCATCAAACAGAGAGGACTTTGAAGGTGACTGAAGTTTAAACACATAAGGATGAATACATGAGGAGAGAGGTGTGATGGAAAGAGGGGAGCTTTTCCAGAAGGGAGGGTCAGTCAGGGTACTCTTGGAAAGGTAAGGACTGACCTGCATCCTTGCGACTTAGCAATTTGGGATTGCTGGTGACCTAGGAGGGAGCAGTGTGAGAGGAGGGGTGTGACAGAGGCCGACGTCAACGGGAGTGGGCAGCCCTTTGGAGAAACAGAGCAGTGCAGGAAGAAGAGGGCTGAGGCCACCAGGAAGGGTTGTTTTTGTTTTTTCAGAAAGGAGAGGGTTGACCATCCAACTTTAGGTTCTAATTCAAAAGGAATTGGGATGCCAGAAAGATCTCTGATGAGAACAGAGATTCTGTCCCCAGGAGCCCTGGCCAAGAGGAGAACAAGCCCTGCGGAGGTGTTTTCCCCTCTCCCTTCCCAGTCTGACGCTGCAGGCTTTATCTGGACTCGCTCTGCTTGACATCTGTCACCAGCCACACTGCAGTGGGGGATGTCACCTCAGAGGGAACACAGGCACCGGCTCCAGAAAGCCTTCATCTGCCCTGACTCCTCGATCCCTGGGGCTGGAAACCCCTTCAGCTTGGGGCACGATGATTTTCTTTTGCTCACCGTGGAGGGATACGCAGAGAGGGTCACGTACTGTCTAGGCTGCATGTCTGCTTGATCCTGAGAGGGACTGCAGGGCAGCTGGCAGGCCTGCAGAGACAGACCCAAGCCAGGAAGGAGCACACCTGAGGAGGCAGGACCCTGTCGCACAATTGGGCCTTTCCCTGGCCAGCAGCCAATGGACGTCTTCTATCTACATGATGGCAATCTTTGGCAGAAGGGAAGCTGTTTTGGATTAAGCGGTGACTGTTTAGGACGGGGAGGGGAATGAAGGAGAAGAGAGGTGGGATATAATACTAAATAAGGTCCCTGTGGCCAATATGACCTCACAGCCCAGAGACCCTTCTGGGGTCTGCGGTACGTGAGACGGCAGAACAGGACGCGCAGCTCAAGGCAGTGTGGTTGTGGAAGAGCGAGGGAGGCATGGTGAAGTCCTACTGTGTGCCTACTAAGAGGGCCTACTCTGTGCCAGGTGCCCAATGTGTGGTGACTCACTGATCCTCAAAGCAACTGAGGTCGAGGAAACTGTCTGCACTTCACAGATGGGCATGCTGACCCTGGCTACCTGCCCAAGGTCACACACCTGCAGAGAGGCAGATATCCTTCCCAGTCACCAGATGCGATGGTGGCTCACAAGCCAGCCCTGTGTAAACAGGAGCAACTCAAGTATGCCCCTAATTGGGCTGCCAAGCGCCAAGGATTATATGAGGAGGGACCCAAAAGAAACCGGAATTTGTTTATTGAAAATTGTACTTTTAAGGAAGGTGGCCAAGGCCCTGCCATGACCCTGATTAGGTTTGCCCTGGCTGCAGGCCCAGAAGCTTGTTTCTCTCTTTTCAGGGCAGCTTGCATCCATGCTATAGATTGAATGTCTGTGTCCCCCAGAATTCATGTACTGAAACCTGATCCCAAGAAGATAGGGCCTTGGGGAGGTGATTAGATCATGAGAGAGGAGCCCTCAGGAATGGGATGCTGCCCTTATGAAAGGAGTCCAGAGAGTTCTCTCTCACCTTCCATCATGTGAAGACACAGATAGGAAAAGGGCCCTCACTGCAATCTAACCAAGCTGACACGCTGATCTCAGACTTCCAGCCTCCAGCACTACGAGAAATAAATTTCTGTTGTTCATAGGCTAAAAAAAACCCCCACAATTTTAACAAATTCCGGTTTCTTTTGGGTCCCTCCTCGTATAATCCTTGGTGCTTGGCAGCTCAATTAGGGCAGCGGTTAAGCTACTCCAGTTTACACAGGGCTGGCTTGTAAGCCAAGCATCACTTCTGGAGACTGGGTAAGCTTTTGCACCGCATAAGTCAGTGCCAGGACCATCTGTGACCTTCATGACAGGCTTGAGGACGCCACTTGTGGAACCGCACCACAGGGCTGGATGGCAATATTGCTTCGCCATGCCACCAAGGAAAGTCCTACACTGTGCCTGTTTTCAGTGCACAGGGGAACATTCCCTTCGAATGACTTCTCCTGAGCCAAGAATAGTCCTCGAGTCCCCACAGAGGTTTTCTCATGCCAGTTAATTCCCAGAAAGGAGTACAGCGAGACTGTGTCCTTGGTCGTGGATGCCAGACCCTGTCATCCATCCGTGTTCTGGAGTTGTTCGACTAGATGTTCACATTGGCAGAATGAACATGAGCTCACATTCTTTTGCTTGATCTCGATTTTGACACAACCAGTCATCAGATGAATGAGTTATCTTGGCTAGGATTTGGGAAACTGGTGTTAGGGAGGGGTGAGTCTGCACTTGACCTGTTGAGAAAACAGTAAGGGGTAATATGAGGTCTGACAATGAAGTTCGCCAACTTGCTACCATGGGCTAACAATGACAGCACTGCACAAACGACTTGGTAAGGTTTCATAACCTTGGTATATCAGTGTCTCATAGCTGTGTTCATGTTGATGCGTGGTGGTGTCTTACTGAGTGGTGTTCAT